TCCTTAGGCGCTCTGCTCGCTTTGGGGTCTTGAGAAATAGCGCCTGAAGTGAAATGCACACTGGTACTGGGATCGAGTGAAATCGGTCAATCAGAAAGAGAAGGAACGGATCTACAGGACCATGATGGGGAATCCGAATAGGAGGCCCGAGTCGGATTAGCCGATCGAGTGAATAGCAGCTGCGATGAGCCATACTAAATTTGCCAAAAAGGGCAAGAGTGGAATGTAAACAAGTGAGAAGTTGTGGTAGGGTGGGAGTTGGATAAGAAGGTAAAGAGTAGATAGATGGATGAGGACAGAAAGAGGGGGGGTAGTGTAATCATTTTGGGCAGAACGTTTGTCGAGGGATTGGCTTCACTTGTCTCTTTGACGAGTTTGTGCGACGAATGGCCAAACTCAACGATAATGCCGACTATGATGCCGGCAGAACATTTGAGAATGTACCAAGTCCACTGTTTGATGCTGGGAATTATGATCACTACTATGGCAGACGACTTCGGACAAGGTGTCTCCTACTAAGTTGCTCTGACGACAAGACGAAGTTACGACGAGGTCAAATCGAGAGGAGACTGCTACCATACCGGAGGCCACACCATCTTGGGCTTCATATCTTCGAAAAGTTTTAAAACGTTATCACTCTCGATAAATCATATGGTTGCAGAGTGAGTAAAAACACAAACTTAACTTTAATATAAAATGGAACTAATTTGAAACAAATTAATTACATACCAAAACAAGCTCATTAAGACGACAAGCAAAAATTTAAATTATTTTATGCAAAACTAAATTCAAGCGCAATTTCGACATATTTTTCCTAGCATAAAAGGTTTTTGAGACTACTTGTAGATCTTAGAAAATAGCAGTATTAACCCTACTTCGTTTGAAGTTGAAATTTCCCACAATCATATGAGTAAGCTCCATTTTACAAGGCCATGTGAAATTTAATGGAGACATGAGGTATACTATTTATCATTGTTGGAAAATTCAACTACGAATCCTTCTTGTCGAGCTTACTTCCATTTCGAGTGAAAGTGTTGAGTGAAGCGATTCAAAGGTCAGTTTCACCAGAAGACGACGGAGGATTTCTCTTGACCAGCTGTCGATTGGCTTTACTGGAAAATTCTTGCTGACGCTCTTTTCAAGGCAATCTCCTTCAATTCCGGTGAAAAGGTGATAAGCTTTCGTCCGTCATAGCTAAAGAGTCAAAGCTTGAAGTTTGTTGTGACGATGTCACCTCGCTCTGATGATGTCCGTCATATGACGGACGAAAGTTTAGCACCTTTTCACCGGAATCGAAGGAGA